AGTGTAATCTGATCATTCACTCCTCTGTTGTTCATCCAGATTTTTAAGATTCTAGAGTCTCTCACATGATAATTTATTTTAGATTTTTGTTGACTCAATAAGAGTGCATGTTATTATCTTTGTAGGAGATTCCTACTGACAGCACTAAATCAACCTTATTGATGATACCATTCCCTCTCTGTATATAATTATTGATTACCTAATTTAAATTATGTGACAAAGACCCAACAGTAATGTGCCCATCAATTCTTCCTTGCTTGTCTTGGGTTTTGCTTATTTAGCTACTATAGTGTTTGCCAAACAAATGCTTCTGGCTATAAATACTCTTATTTTATAAAAGGAAAAAAGAATTCACCGGGGGACCTACCAGCAAACCCTAACTGAGTAGGTGGGGAGTGGACCCAGCTGTCTATGTTGCTGCGAGCTCCTCCAGTGGTTCTCATGTGCACCCCAGGGAGAGCCTGGGCCACCGAAATGCAGTTCTGCACGTTTAAGAAGCTAAATAACTGCACAGGAGAGTTTGGGGGTGGGGTATGTTGGTGTGTGAGTGTGAGTGTGTGTGTGTGTGAGTGTGTATGAGTGTGTGCGAGAGTGTGAGTGTGTGTGTGAGTGTGTGTGAGAGTGTGAGTGTGTGTATGTGTGCGTGTGTGAGTGTGTGTGAGTGTGTGTGTGTGAGTGTATGTGTGTGAGTGTGTGTGAGTGTGTGTGTGAGTGTGTGTTATTTGTTTTGTTTATTGTGTGTGTGTGAATGTATGTGTGAGTGTGTGTGTGTGTTGTGGAGAGAGTGTGTGTGTGTGTGAGTGTGTATGTGTGTGTGTGTGTGTGTGTGTGTAGAGGAGTTTGAGTGCAGTCATGCCAGGGAGGAGGGGCACACAGGAGTCTGGCCTTCCCAGCAAGGGCCCCTGTCCTCCTTGTGCTGCTAGTTCCCAAAGATCTGACACTTCAGAGCAGGGACCGTGTGCGCGCTGTTTGAAGTTTCCGTCACTGTTTGACAGCTCAGGGCTTCCTCCGTGTGTGGCATTCAGATCCACGGCCGCTGGCATAAAACCCTCCCTCCTCGCTTCTGTGTTGCTTTGGAGCCGGCTGCCCTACAGAGTCACAGTGTGACCCAAAGGCCACTCGGGGCTGTGACCTCCCATGCCCTGTCCCAGCCGGACCCGGTGCCTGAGAGGAGGGCTCCCTGTGCCTCCTGTCAGGTGACGGGAGGGCCTGTCCCTGGCCACAGTCCCAGTGGGCATGGAGACACACAAAGTCCAATGCCCTTGGTGACTCCCCCTCCACTGCTCAGCGCTTTTGTTCACTTCCTTTGAGTTCCCAGCCCATTTGTCTGCAGAAAGGACGGTGAGCCAAGCTCAGGAAGCAGCAGGCGCAGCCAGGGGCTGTCTCCTGGTGGGTTACAAAGCATTTCACTAAGCAAACATCACCTTTGGCAAGAGGCCCCTTTGGTTGTCATGACAACGCGGATAGCTTGTGTCTTGGGGGTATACCGTGCCCTCTTTCTGGCTGCCCAAGGTCCCATGCCCCAGCTCTCTCTCCCAGATCCTTTCAACAGCCCTCGGCATCCTGGCGCCACCTCACATTAACGATTCTTCACTTTGGAGCAGCTTTGTCTTGCTCAGCAAAGAAACCGCGTGGCTGAGATATCAAAAGGACTAGATCAAGCTATTCCTCTCCTCAAAACCCTCCAGCCTCTGGCCTCTCTCAGAGCCGACGTCCTTCCCATGACCTACAAGGTGCTTTGTGACTGGGCCTCCTCCCTGGCCTCCGCTCCCACCACTCTCCCTCCCCCTGTGTGTGCACGTGCAGTGTGTGGGGTGGCAGAGAACGGGGAATGGGAAGAGGAGCTTTGGGGATCTCTCTGGAGCCCCAAAATCATGGCAGGTAGGAGGGGGCACACTCCAGACATGCTGGCCTTCCCACCGGTCTCCAGATGCACCAGCAGACACACCTCAGGCTCTTTGCACTCGCTCCTTTCTCTCTCCTCTGAATTCTGCACTCCCTTCTCTCTCTTCATGCAGGTCCCTGCTCAAATGCCCCTCCTCAGAGAGGCCCCTGCCTCCTGCCTCACGTGGCTGCCTTCCAGCCCGTGTCCAGCTTTCTCTCCCCCTGCGGCAGCTCTCAGCCCCTGGCATTCCACAGAGACGCAGTTTCTGGGGGTCTAATGTCTGCCTTCCCAGGAGACGGCCCTGGCACAGGAGCGGGCCCGTGTCCACACGCATCAACGTTTGTGACGGGAGTGAGTGAGTGACTAGTCCTGGAGTCAGGGCCTGGCTCTGCTGCATGGCAGCCTGATGGCATTGAGCAAGCCACCTGTCAGCCTGAGCCTCGGTCTCCTTGTCTGGAAAACGGAGGGGATGAGACCTGCCCGCTGGAGTGATGAGAATGAGTGAGGTGGCACAGTGAGTGGGGCCAAGGCACGCCCCACACGGGGAGGCTGACATGGTCTCCTTTCTCATTCAGCTGCGTTCTGGATGCTCTCCTTGCCCTGGGCTCCCGGACACCCTCGGGCTTCCAGGGCACCTGTAACTCCCATCTGCCAGGGAGACCCGCACGGTGCCCCAGGAGAAGGCAGACAGCCACAGGGGGAAGCGGGAGCCCCACTCCTGCCCAGGGCCCTGCACGCACGCTGGACAGCCTGCCCGGCTCAGCCGCCCCGCCCTCTGCTTTTCACGAGGCCCCTAGAGACTGCCTCGGGGGGGCAGGGGGGCTGGCTGAGACGTCCCTGTGCAGCCGGGAGCCCTGCCTCCAGGGGCCTGTCAGGTCGTGTGGCTGCAGGACGCCCAGCCAGTTACCACAGAACAGGGCCTTCATGAACTTCTCAGGGGTTCCCTGGTGTGTGCCCCACAAGGAGGACGGAGACCCACAGCTTTTCTTTTTTAGAGGCTGGAGGGCACGTTTGCCTGTTTCAGACACTGTTCAGAGAGGAGTGTTCTGTCCACGTCCCGTCCTGCCATTGCCCGTTTGTCGATAAGATACTTTCTCCAGTTTCTCGCGTCTGACCTCCTTCAGAGCACAAGGGCCATGAACCCAGGAGGCGTGAGTGCACCCTGTCCGTGGAGTGTGAGCAACGCACTGGGGACACGGAGCAGCAGGGCCCGCCCCGGCCTCAGAGGGGCTCCGGCGCCTGTGCTGGGCCCGTGGCTGCACGGCCAGGCTGTCTGGCTCCTCAGGGCCCATCAGGCGCACTGCATGGGCGACAGTGGAGTCCGAAGCTCTGGAGTCTGCGGCGTCTGCATCTCCTGTGTTTCAATGAGGAGTCAGACGCTGCTCGGTCACTTCACAAGTGACCGTCGCCACTTGATGCAAGGGAGAGAAAGTGGTGCCTGGAAGACACAGCACAGACTCCTAGTCCGCCTAGCACATTTATCGATGAGTCCGATGAGGACAGGAACAGCAGCCCAAGGGGAAAATAAGTCCCTCTCAGCAAGATAACCCCCCAATAAATGGGGGGTGTTGCATTTGTGATCAAAAGGACAATCACACTGAAATAGGGTGCTTTGACAACCACGCATAAAAATATGAAAATGTGTAGCCCTAGCCGGTTTGGCTCAGTGGATAGAGCGTCAGCCCGTGGACCAAAGGGTCCCGGGTCTGATTCTGGTCAAGAGCATGTACCTCAGTTTGTCTCACATCGATGTTTCTCTCTATCTTTCCCTCTCTCTTCCACTCTCCCTAAAAATCCATGGGAAAATATCCTTGGGTGAAGATAAAATAAAATAAAAATATCGAAGTGGTTAAACTGACCTCAAGCTTACTAATGGCCAATGACAGCCTGACAGGGCGCGACAACAACCAAGCGGCTGGAATACAGTCCCGGGCGCTGCCTGGAATAAACACCTAGCTCTTTGGAACCAGCTCTGTCCCTTGTCAGCTGTGTGACTTGTTTATTCACAGCCCTCTCTGAGCCTCCAAATCTAACTGACATGAAATGGCAACGCCTTCCCTGCTCGGTTAGCACTTGACAGACTCCGGCATTGAGAAGGCACTCAGTCAATGGTCATTGTTAGTATTCACCTGCTATGGAAATAAAGGGTGTAAAGCCGGCACAGCCAGGAGAGCCCTGCCCCTTTCAGACCTCGCTGGAGTCTTCTGTCCAGACTCAGCTCTAGACTTATGATCAGTTAGACAACAACTGTCAGTGAGTCCTCGATGAGGGAAGAGTCGGCCTGAGAATAAAGCTCCAAACACACATGGTATTTTGTTGTTGTTGTTGTTGTTGTTAAGATATTTAAAGAACCAGCAAATTAGGAGGACATGCTATGCTCTTGCAAAGATCCAAAGTAGAGGTGAAAGAAGTTAGTGTGGTAGCTCTAGGCTCAAGTAAGAGGAAACCAAGCTGACCAGTCAGCATGGCTCAGTGGTTGAGCATCGACCTAGGAATCAGGAGGTCGCGGTTCGATTCCCGATCAGGGCACATGCCCAGGTTGCAGGCTTGATCCCCAGTGGAGGACACAGCTCTCCCCGCCGCCTGGCCACGCCCCTGTCATGGGCAGGGCATCTGAGAGTGGGTCTCAGCTCTGGGTGCACTGGCTGGGTTAATCAGACTTGGGAACCACTGCTTTCGAGGGAAGTCAAAACCAGGAGGCTAGAGAACTGGGCCCCTCGGCGGGCACAGGAAAGACGTGGACTGGTTTAGTGGTGTCTTCCTGGTTTGCACAGGGCTCTGTATCCGAGGATGAGCGACGCTATTTTGCATCCTCCCTGGGGATTCTAGAGGAAATGCATTAACGTAACAGCAAAAGGACTAGTGGGACATAAGGAAGAATTCTCCTCCCTTGACGGATGTTGGGCGGTGGAAGGACGGCTGGCTGAGCAGACTCACGGGAGCCTCCGGGGGCCTCCATCGGAGCAGAGGTCGCCAGCCAGGGGAGGGGCCGGCCAGGTCCCATCCCAAGGCCCCAGAGGAGCTCCCAGAGTCCCCTTGCATCTTGGGGTGCGCCCTTACCCTTTGACTTCCTTCCTCGTTGAGGTAAACATGAGCATCGCTCTCCCTTCTCCAGGTGTCACAGAGAACATGCCCGCGCCCGCGGTGCCAGACCTGCACGAAGAGAAGCTGCGATCACAGCTGGAGGAGGAAAAGAGAAGGTGCCCTTTCTTTCTCCTTGTCCCCCCTGCCCCAGCTCAGAGGGCTCCACAGAGCCCCCCACCCCCACCCCCCCAGCTCAGAGGGCTCCACGGAGGCCGGGGGCTGCCCTGGGCCAGCAGAGAGACCGTGCCCGCCCAGGCCTGGAGCTTCTCTAGGAAGTGGGTCCAGCTGTTGGGTCCTGAAACAGCTGGAGAGGTGCTGCCTCTGAGCAGGCAGATGTGGTACATGAACACCGGGCTGGTGAGGTGGAATGAGGAGCAGGAAGAGTATGAGGAAGGGAGAATTGGAGGCTGTTGGCACCTCCTTCCCTCAATCCCAGGCTGAGGCTGCGGCTGAGGCTGCAGGAGCAGCCAGTCCTGTCTACTGCTGCCATCTAGGGGAACCAAGAGATATGACCACGGGGTCTTCCTTCCACCTGCAGCTTGGCCCACTTCCCTCCTCTGTCTCCTGATCTGTAAGGCGTCCTGAGAACATCAGACCCTCCTGCAGCCATTGAGGGTCCCCAGGTGGTTTCAGTCACAGAGTGAGCACCCCCAAGCATACAGAGCCATGTGGCCATTACCGACACAGCATAAGTGTCACTGTGACACAGGCCACCCCCGGGCTGGTTAGGCATGCACCCCGAGCACACCCCGCCACCCTACCCTCCTGAGACTTGAGAACAAGATCCCACGCAGCCGATGGGCAGGTCACTCCTGCCACATCCTCCTTCCGAAAGCTCGCACTGCACTGCACTGCCCTCCGGGCCCCGGGTTCACTCCCCTGCTGTCCTCTTTCTCCCACGCTCTGTGTATTTTCTAGTTCCTTTCAATCCTCCCTCTGTGTCTGTGCTGCCCCCGTCCTGTCCCCTTGGTCCACACTCCCAACCACGGGGCCCTCTCAGAAGTCAGGGTGTCTCTGCAGAGGAATCCTCATCTACTTCCTGGTGGACAACCTCTGACTCTGTGGCCTGCCCAGCACCCCCAGGCGCACGAACAAAGGTAGTGCCACTTTGGGGCCTGGGCATGATGGTGAGCCAGCGCAACGGGAGGCCGTGAAGACTGGTCCTAGAAGAGAGAGCCGGTCCCCATCCTGGCTGCTCTCCCTATGAGCTCTGTGTCACAGAGCAAGTTACTTAACCGCTCCAGCCGAGGTTCCAGCTCTGCCAAGTGGAGAGGAACTGTGTGCATCCATAGGGCTGTGCAGAGGGTTCAATGAGTGCGTATATGTCCAGGGCCTGCAGCAATGCCTGCCCCTCGCAGGTGCTCAGTAATGGCAGTTACCACTCTTGGAGACGGGACCTTCATCTCACACACAGGCCCACGAGCCCACGGGACAGAAACGCCAAGCTCTGCTTCCCTGTGGTGGGTGGGGAACCTGGCAGCACACTCTGGCCTCGGTGGGCAGCATGAGGGTCCCAGTCCTATTAGCAGCACAGCACTCTGAGGCCACGGAGGCACAGGTCCTCAGCCAACAGCCCATCCACAGCCCCACCTCCTTCCAGACTCTCACGGCTCCTGCCTGATGCCCCTGCAGGTATAAAACCATGTTCACGCGCCTAAAGGCCCTGAAGGTGGAGATCGAGCACCTGCAGCTGCTCATGGACAGAGCCAAGGTGAAGCTGCAGAAGGAGTTTGAGGCCTGGTGGGCAGCGGAGGCCAGCAGCCTGCAGGTATGGGTGGCCGCAGGGCCCTGTGGGGGCTGGGGAAGGGCAGGGCAGTGGGGGAGGGACAGACACAGCTCCCTGGGACTGCCAGGGGAGGAGGAGTGGGGGTTCAGCACACAGGCCCGCATGCTCTCAGCCCCTGCGTGAAGCAAGCGCTTATTTTGGTAACAAAAAACTCAAGTGATCTGGGCTCATTGTTCCTTGCTTAGTGCCTGTCGCATGTTGGATCACACTATCCTATCACATGTCTATGCATATATATTCATGTTTGTATAAAACTGGAATCATATTGGTCTCCAGGTGTCACAAAGGCATGTTTACTTAATTACAGAGCATCACTGCTCTTCCACGTTGTGATTTCTTCGCCAGTGTCCTACAGGCCAGCACCATTCCATCACACAGATCTGTTTTAGTCTCCTTAACTAATCCACTACTTAATGTTTAGGTTACTTCTAGTATTTCACGGGGAACACATTTGTAGATAAACCTTTGCATATTTGCTGAACAAATCCTTAAAAGTTCCCTATCATATAGTGAAGCTAAAATAATCTGGGGGGACATTAGCTTAGCCCCTGTTCGGGTTGTCCTCGGGCTCCCTGGCTGTGGTGCAGGGAGTGATGACCTGCATGCGGTTGTGTCACCTGCACAGCTGGCAGACCCGCAGGGACCATCTGACACAAAACTGATCCCAAGAAGCTATTTGCCCTGACAGCCAGGCAGCAGCTCCTCACATGTTACCAAGTGGCCATAGGGCCGATAATAGGGAAGAATCTATCTATATAAAACCCTAACATGCAAATAGACCAAACAGCGGAACAACCGAACAACCGGTTGCTATGACATGCACTGACCACCAGGGGGCACACGCAGAACATGGCAGGCATCAGCCGAGGCAGGATGGTGGAGCAGGTGAGCGGGGGCACCAGACCAAGGCAGGGTGCCAGTCGCTGTCATCGGGGTGAGCCTCTGGTGATTACTGAAAATTCTTTGCTCCCCCATGCCACTGTCCCTCCCAGTGCTCGCACCCGCTGCCGGCACCGGCCCCGCTCATACCCGCTGCTGGTGCCAGTGCCAGCCCTGATTGCCCCTGAGGGCTTCTCCACCTCCCCCTGCTCCTGAGGGGCGATCGGGGCAGCGGCCGCCACTCTCACCTGCTGCTGGTGGTGGCCCCAATCGCTTTGTGCCGTCAGAGGGTGAGAGCAGGGCTGGTGCCATCAGCGTGTGGGAGCGACGGCAGTGGGAGTGGGTCTGCCAGCAGACAGGGGACCAGGGGCCATGATGGGAGGGGCCGGGTGGGGGAGGCGTGGAGGATGGGCTGAGACCTGCCCCTGTGCCCACCACAGCCTCACAGCCCACAGTTCCTTTCAAGGTGCACAAATTCATGCACTGGGCCCCTAGTATTTAGATAAAATTAAACACACATGATGACACACAAAAAAACAACAACACAATAACAATAAGACTGAAATACAGTTCTCAAAGTATTTTTAAAACAAGGTTATGATATAATAATATGTACAGCACTTTACAAATGCATTCATGAATAAGGTCTAGGGCAGGCCCAATACTTACTATAATTTCAAAGAAATGATGACCACAATATTTCAAGATTTCTGTAACTGTAATGCGATACAAAGATCTCTCTATGATTTGTACTGGTGATGAAGTCGCTGGTACTCCTAATACATTGGTGGTTTGTTGTCTATGCTTATCATTGGGAAAAATGCTAAATTTCAGGTAGAAGTTGGGAAAAATAAAGATATAATTGGTTCCCATCCACGTCCCCGGTGCCCCTGGATCTGCCTGTCCCCCAGGAAAGACCCCATCCTGGTTCATCATCAAGAGTGAGGCGTCAGCCACTGCAGCACCCTAGGGGGCTCCATGGCTGAACAGGGGTGAGGGGCATCCCCTGTGACTCAGGAGGTGTCCGGGCCGGCTGACAGGGTCCGTCAGTCTATGACTTACAGAGGCAGTGGAAGCCAGGGAGCCAAGGTGTGGGCTCCGTGGGGCCTCTGTCCACAGATGTCACTCAAACCAAAGGGTCCAGGTGACCGCAGCAGGGATGATGGGCACCCTGTTGCCCGGGAACTGGCTCTGAGCAGTTTCACAGCCTGCGATGTACCCGGGTGGGCGAGGCAGACGCCTTAAACCTCAGCAGGACGTGGGAGGCGATGAGAAGCTCCCGTGACAGTGTCCTGGGGGACAGGGAGCAAGTGGGAAGTGCCCCATGCTCTCGTGCTCAGGGAGCGTCACGGGCACTCTGCCCAGGCCCAGATGAGCTGCAGCTGGAGCCCTACCACAGGCCGAGTGCAGACGCATGCGGGTCCGGGGCATGCGGTGGAGCTGTTCCCCCCACGAGGTGCTTGGTGGCGTCCTCCCGCCTTGGGCCGCATCTCCCTGTGACTAGGGGTGCAAAACCATAAAGGACTTCGGAGAACTGTCAGCTCACATTTTATTTTATTTTTTAATATATTTTCATTGATTTCAGAGAGGAAGGGAGAGGGAGAGAGAGATAGAAACATCAATGATGAGAGAGAATCACTGATTAGCTGCCTCCTGCAGGCCCCGCACTGGGGATCAAGCCCGTAGCCCGGGCATGTGCCCTGACCGGGAATCGAACCTCGACCTCCTGGTTCACAGGTTGACGCTCAACCACTGAGCCACGCCGGCCAGGCAGATCCCAGTTTAAACATTGTTTGCTAACTGCAGGAAGGACTACGTGCTCAGTGTGGAGAGCGTAGCCCAGATCACACACTGCCTGTGCCCACTGTCCACAGGTGATATGTAGGTGCCGGTCACTACAGTCATCACTGTGTCTAGGTTTGTTTTTCCCGCGTATGTCAGAGACACCAACTTCCATAGCTAGTGCTAAACCAGGGCCCTTCCCCATCATCAGACTCAGGCTAACACCGTGCGACGCTGCTTGGCCCACAGGTGGACCCTCCGGCAGGGAACTCACCCAGCCACACGCAGCCGCTCCCACCCAGGCCCGGATCCCAGCACGAGAGGCCCCCACTTCTCTCTAACCAAAGGTAAGAGGAGAGCTCGCTGACAGGGTTGGGGCGCCTCGAAACGGCTCCCCACTGTCCTCCTGGCCACTTGGCTGCTCTGAGGTCTCTGTGGGAGGAGCAGTCACTCTGTTAAATCACGTGTGGACGCCGGGCAGTGGCTTCCCGGCTTGTTTGGGCGCCCCCCACCCCCACCCCCAGTCCTTCCCCAGCTCTGACACTGCAGACCCACTGCCATGGCAACAAGAGAGCCTTTGACCGCACAGGCCCTGGTCCAGCGCCTGAGCAGGGAGAGGGGTCGGCAGTGGGAGGGCAGGGTGGTGGGGAGAGTGGGTGTTGGCGGCAGGGCAGAGGGTAGTCAGCCTGCCAGTCGCTCTGGTAAAAGGCTGTGAGGACAGATGCGGGCGGCGCTGTGAGCACGTCTCCCGTGAGGACGGCCCAGAGCCAATTTCCCAAATGTCGGCCTGACCCAGCAGGGACGCGCCTCCGCACACACCGCCTTGGAGGGCAGGTTTCTTGTCACACCACTCACGGCATCATCTCTCCAACCACACAGCTCAGGCGGTACAGCCAGTGCCGTGTGCCCCGGCCACCTGCAGCCCCAGACGGACAGCACCTCCCCCCCACCCCCTACTCCACCCCCCACCCCCACCCCTACTCCACCCCCACCCCCACCCCCCACAGCAGAGGCCAGGCAGGGTGGGGCCTTGCTCTACCACCTGGGAGCAGCCCTGTGACAGGGTGAAGGGCAGCGGGGCTCTCTGGTTGGGGAGCGTTGGGGGAGAGGCTGTCAGACAGCCCCGTGATGGGATGGGACGGGGTGGCACTCCATCTCTGGCCCTCTTCTCAATAACCCAAACCCCAGCCAAGTCGTGAGGAAAGCAGCAAGGCCCGTGGAGGGGTGTTCTCCAGGACCCCCCCTCCCCAACCCCCCTGCCAGTCCTCCCCAGGGCTGCCAAGGAACCGGCCACAGACACGAGGAGCCTGAGCAGATGTGGCGACTAGAACCGTGATGTGCTGTCTGGGATGGGGCCCTGGCCCAGAAAGCACATTCCAACAAAAAACAGAAAAGCCGGCCTGGCCAGTGTGGCTGAGTGGTTGAGCATTGACTCATGAACCAAGAGGTCACCAGTTTGATTCCCATTCAGGGCACATGCCCAGGTTTTGGGCTCCATCCCTAGTGGGGGGGGGCGTGCGGGAGGCAGCCGATCAATGATCCTCTCTCATCACTGATGTTTCTATCTTTCTCCCTCTCCCTTCCTTCTGTCCATCTCTTCTTTCCATCTGACCCCCAAGAAGTCCCCCCAGTTGAGGCTTTCCCAAAGGATATGCTGAATCGTCCTCAAAGCTCTTCCCAGCAGCAGGCTCTTGGGCAAGCCAGCTCCCTCTTTGGGATTCCCTCTCTCTGTCAGATGCACCAGGGTCCCTCCGGCACTGTTTGCTCTATGAACAGATGAGTGTCCCAGTGCCACCGAGGAGCCCCTGGAGCGAGAGAGCAAGCCCGCCGGCTGTCTGCACCCGAGCTCCAGCGAGGCCGCTGCTGATGGACTCAGCGGGCAGGCCCGCTCTGCTCCTAGGTTCTCTGAAAGAAACCGGATTCCATCACCTCCAGGGGATGTGCAGAGCCTGCCGGCTGCACACACTAAATTCACAGCTCTGAATGGCAACCGGGAGGTCTAATTGATATAAATATTGCTTATTAATCCTTATTAAGAAAGATAGTAAGTTCTGGCGGCTGGTATGTTCTCTCCAGAACAAATATCAACATGAGAAATGAATTCAGCGTCAGGCTGGTTGGTCAGGAGAGGGGACAAAAGTAATTTGTAACATGAGGGATCAGACAGCGGCCTATGGCATCGGTGCCCCCGGGGCCGCTTAGGGACCAGCGGAGTCATCCCCCCAGCAGCCCCAGCCTCCGCATGGTGCCATGCTCCTGCCTGAGCTGGTTGTGGCAACGGGCTGGGCGTCGGGACTGCAGGGCCTTCTCTGCCATGGTGTGGTCACCACGCCCTTCTGCCCGGCCCCGTCCAGCTCGGCCCCGTCCAGCTCCGCCCCTTCCATCCACTCCCCACCCTCCACAGTTTGGCTCCTGTGAACACTCCCTGGAATCGTAGAACAGGCTCCGCTGGGAAACCATTGAGTCAATGACACATTTGTGTGCCAATGACTTGGTCTTGTGAGGTTTGCTACAGCTTCCAAGCTGACCTGGACCCTTCTCTCCTTCTCTCCTCACCCTCCCCGCCCCCGCACCAAGAACTCCAGTTCCAGCCCAAAGAATTGGCCTCTGTTCCCTAAAGAAGAGCATGCAGAGCCTGCCACCTTGTGGCTGCCTCTGGCCCTGCAGCTGCCTTCCAGCCGGCCCACACACTCAGTGGAGAGGCTCTGGGGTGCGGGGAAATACTAGTGAGCGGCCCGGGCTCTGATTTCCTTTCCTGCCTGTTTGGCCCACCGCCCTGAACCTGAGGAGGCAGGCCCAGGGGAGAAGCCCGGCTGCTGGGAGAGACGGGAGAGGCTGAAGGCTGCGGCGGAGGACGGTGGACGGAGGACGGGGCTGCACTCATGGGCGGGACCGCAGGTTGTCAGGCCTGTGGAGTTCCTTGGACTCGGTGCAGACGTGGCAAAGCTGGTGCACCTGTCTCGAACCCTGGCCTGCCTCGGCCTGAGCGTTCCCTGTAAAAGGAGGGTTCTGACCAGGAGACTCTTCAGGCCTCTTCCAGCTCTGACGTGTGTGTAGGCAGGACCCTCCCAAGGCCAGAGAGAGAGGACCCCATCCTGACCCTGGCATGGGGACGGCTTTGGCCGCTGGCCCTTTACCTCCCAGGGGGTGCTCCTGCGATCTGCTATTTGCAACCAAGAATCCAAGGCCAGGCCAGTATACCAGGCAGCCTAGTAAAATGGGCAAAATTGCGTGTGCGTGAGCTGTTGGATCTGACGCCTCACTCAGGAAGCACAGTGTTGGTCAGCTGGGGCCTCCTAAGGGCAGTTGGTGTGGCCAGGGAAACGCCACGTGTCTCCAGTGTGCTCCCCCAGAACACCAGAGGGGGGCCCAGTTAATAAAGCATCGTGGCCGAGAGCATGGATTCCGGAGGCTTCGAGAGTCATGATTGGGTCCAGATTCGGCCACTGACCAGCTGGGTAACTTTTAGAATTTTTTAAACTTCTCTAAGCCTCAGTTTTCTCGTGTATATAATGGGGATAATGAGGCTATTGCAGAGCACACTGCCAGGACCTGGTGTGCAGACCGTGTCTATGAATGACATTTGTGATCTTTATTATTTTTGTTCAACTTGCATATCCAGTACATGCAATGCTCCAATATGAAAATTAATGTATAAGCCATCGTCATGGACTGAATGTTTGTGTCCCCCAGAAATTCATATGTTGAAACTCTAACCTCAATGTGATGGTATTTGGAGATGGGGGGTGATCTTTGGGAGGTGATTAGATCATGAGGGTGGAGCCCTCATGAATGAGATTAGTGCCCTTATAAGAGGAGGCCAGAGAGCCCGCTCACTCCCTTCCCAGGGAGAGACACAACAGAAGTCAGCAGTCTGAAACCCAGAGAGGGCTCTCACCAGAACCCGGCCCTGCTGGCACCCAGACCTCAGGCTTCCAGCCTCCAGAACCGTGAGAGACGAATTCCCACAGCCACCCGGTCTGCGGCACGTTGTGATAGCAGCCTGCCCTGACTCAGACAGGAATGGGTACCAGAAGTGGTGCTGTTACAGCAAAAACCAAAAGATGCTGAAACAGCTGTGAAACCAGGTGATGGGGCAAGGCTGGAAAGCTTTGAGATGCAGAGGAAGCCGAGATTGTCGTAAAGGGACTTTTAAAGGCAATTCTGGGGAGGGCTCATAATGGACGGAGAAGAGCTGTGGAGAAAGCTCCCGCCTTTTAGAGAAGAGACATAATCGTGTCCAGAATGTTGGTAGAAATTAGGTGGTAAAGGCCACTCTGAGGTCTCGGGCAGAAATGAGGAGCGTGCTATTTGAAGGACAGGCAGTCCCTGTAATACGGTGGCAAGGAACTCGGCTGAGCTGTGTTCATGTTCCAGTATTTGTGGAAGGTCCAGTTTACAGGTGATGAACCTGGTGTTAGCCAAGGAGATTTCTAAGCAAAGTGTGGACGGAATGGCTTGGCCCCTCCTGACTGCTTAAAGTGAAATGTAAGAGAGTCGTGACTTGAAGGCGACCTTATTAAGCAAAAATGACTAGAATGTACAGATTTGGAGACTCCTCCGCCTGTCCAAGCTGCAAAAACTAAGCAAGTGTCTCCAGAAGAGAACCCCAGGGTGCGGCCGAGCGACCACAAGGAGATGAGTGTGGGCGTGAACCGGGGACGGGATCGGCCGCCCCACCAGGAGCACTGACAGGGTGAGCTGAGGAGGAGGAGCGGGGACGGGACGAGGCAGGCTGCCGGACTTCCTGGATTTTACGGGATGGAACCACAGCGCTACTCTGCCGGGAACACCACCGTTCTTCCAGCAAGAGAAGAATGACCCCAGAGGCTATTCGGAGCCTCAGGGCTGCCCCCCTGTTTCAAAAGGAGGTGCCCACGGGCTTGCTTTCCACAGGCCAACGCTGGGGGACACGCAGCAGAACCGTGAGGGCATGACCCCTGCCCAGCAGGGCCTGGCTGATCACCCCACTGGGACCAAAGGGCAGATCACCAAGCCGAAGAGGATGATGGTTGAGCCTTAAGATCTCCTGGTGTTGGCCTTGCGAGGATTTAGACTCCCTTGGGACCCATTACTTTCCTTATTTCCTGTCCTCCTTTTTGCGAGGGGAAGGTCTATGCCCGTGGTCGGCAAACTGCGGCTCGAGAGCCACATGCGGCTCTTTGGCCCCTTGAGTGTGGCTCTTCCTAAACCTTAGGAGTACCCTAATTAAGTCAATAACAATGTACCTACCTATATAATTTACGTTTTAAAAATGGCTCTCAAAAGAAATTTCAATCTTGTACTGTTGATATTTGGCTCTGTTGACTAATGAGTTTGCCGACCACTGGCCTATGCTGAGCCTGTCCCCGCACAGCTGGAGGGCAATTTTGCCTCAGGATGAAATGAATCAAGAATACCTTGCGTCTCACCCAGAGCTGATTAAATGCTATTCAGATGAGACTTTGGACTTTAGGCTTAGTGTTGATGCTGGAACAAGCTAGGAAGGGGGGGTGTGGCGGGGGGGGGGGGCGGGGAGGATGGAATGAGGACATGAATTTGGGGGCATCAGGGGTGGGATGTTACAGACGAATGTGCCTCCCAAACTGGTATGTTGAAACCTAACCCCAATGTGATGGTACTTGGAGGTGGGATCTTTGGAGGTGATTAGGCCCTGAGGGTACAGGCCTCGTGAGTGAGATCAGTGCCCTGATAAGAGGCCAGAAAGCTCGCTCACTCTCTTTGCCCCACGTGAGGACACAGTGAAGAAGGCTTTCACAGAAACCCGATGCGCTGGCACCCTGAACTCCGACTCCCAGCCTCCAGAACTGAGAAGTAACTCCCTGTTGCTTAAGTCTCTCCCCACTCCCACCCCCTAGACCAGTGATGGCGAACCTATGACACGCGTGTCAGAGGTGACACGCGAACTCATTTTTTGGGTTGATTTTTCTTTGTTAAATGGCATTTAAGTATATAAAATAAATATCAAAAATGTAAGTCTTTGTTTTACTATGGTTGCAAATATCAAAAAATTTCTATATGTGACACGGCACCAGAGTTAAGTTAGGGTTTTTCAAAATGCTGACACGCCGAGCTCAAAAGGTTCGCCATCACTGCCCTAGACTGTGGTTTGCCGTTCTGGAAGCCTGACCTGACTAGGATGTTCACGACAGGGTTCTTGGCTCCTGGCCTAGTCCGCTCGGGCTGCCCTCACCAAACACCCCACAGAAATGCATTTATTTCTCAGTCTGGAGGCTGAATCAGAGTCTGGGAGAGCCCGGTTCCTTGCTGTGTCTTCACATGATAGCAAGAGCTCTGGTCTCCCCACCCTCATCATTTCATCCAAACCTCCCAAAGGCCCCATTGCAAACAGCAGCATACTGAGGGTGAGGGCTTCAATGTATGAATGGTGAGGGGACACAAAGATTCGGTCCATACAGCTCCTAACCACAGACCCTGAGTTTGTTTCTCCCTGGCAAACCTCCTCCCATACTTTCTCATCTGTGGGTTTGGTCTTTACAGGGCTGTGTATACCAGGAAAATCCTGCCCTCGCCTCGCCCCATCCTGCCCAGCCCAGAGGAGACGGGCACTCGTGCCTCCCTGGACGACAGGTCTGTGGTCTTCCCCTCTCATGCCTGTCACTGCCCCCCCGTAGGCAAATTGGGTGGAAATCATCAGTCTGCCTCCCCCACAGCCTGAGGGGCCCCTGTCCAGTGGCTGCACACAGAGCCCAGGGCTGGCCGCCGCTCTGGCTCCCGAATCCCCCAGGGTCGCTGGGGCCCTGTATGCATGCTTCCTGTCTCCTGTGAACAGATGTATGTGGGGCCATTAAAGGAAAGAAGAGCCAGCCCAGGGACCGTCCCAACATGGGCCGAGAGCCCCCGTAAAGCCCCCAGGCAGGGAGGACAGAGTGGACAAGCCTGTGAGCCACTCATTCCAGGCCTCTCCCTGGCACCTGAACACAGTGGACCAGGCCTCTCCCAGCGCCCGCTCTGTGCCCTCTGAGTAGAAGGCCCGCACGCCCTTCTTCGTCTGGCAGGTGCCACTTTCCTCCCAAGGTGTCCCAGGGTGAACTCCACAGTCTCCTCCCTGTCCCCAGAGAGGACGGACAGCCCCCCCCCCCTCCAGCTCCCTGCCCCCTGCTGTGACTCTGCCTTAGCACTCCTGGCTGAGCTGCAGCTGGAATGCTGACAAAAGACGACTTGTGATAATGAACACCTTATTACATACAGGAGGGAGTGGGGACTGTCACCTGCTGTGGAGGGGCAGGTGTGAGGGTGGCAGCTTGGCAAAGCCAGGAGAGCACATTGCTCTGAATTTTCTTAAGGGAGATTTTATATGGAGATGTTGGAGGGAGAAAGAGGAGGGAGAAGGCCACATATGTCCCTCCCTTCCCTCCTAAGAGGATTTCCAGTACTTCTTACAAATCTCATTGGCCAGGACCTGGTCACCTGGCCGCATCGCTGCAAAGGAACCTGGGAGATGTAGTTTTTAGCTGTGCAGCTTACTTGGCTAAATATTATGGCTCTGTTTTTAAGGAGAGAGGGGAGAATAGTTATCTCTGCCTCAGGGACAACTGGCTAAGCTGTGGTGGGGATGGGACACACTGGGGAGACAGCCTAAGGCACATGACACCTATTGGGTGCTGGAGGAGCTAGGTCCCAGGTCAATAGGCTTTGTTCGGGTAAGCTGGGGAACGAGGTAGAGGGGGGGTGACGAAGGGTGGAGAAGGTGGTGAGGACATGACACAATTGCATGCAAAGGTTTGCTGTGGCTGCTGCACAGATAAGGGGGAGGGAGGGAGGAGGAGGCGATTGGTCCTCATGGCCTCCTGGGTAACATGGAGTCATTGAAAATGGAAAAGCACTTGGGAGAGGTAAGCGCTGAGTCCAAACATAAGGGGCAGTAAAGTGTGACCTGTGGTTGTCCCCAGCATCCCCGAGAAGCGGGCCTCTTCCGTCCCCCTCACCGGAGACAGCCAGACGGATTCCGACATCCTGGCATTCATCAAGGCCAGACAGAACGTTCTGCAGAAGAAATGTAAGTGCCCCTTCCTCCAGGGCCACGGGGGCCCCCCACCCCGCTCTGCTCCCCAGGGGGAGGCTGGAGCAAGCACCGAGGCCCGAGGGAAGCAGGAAGCGCCCTGCACGGTCCTGAGGCCATGGGACTGGCCTGGCGCTCACGTCCGCGTGCCGGGCCTCTGCATCCTCCTGGAGAAAGCCCCACGCGGCAGCATCAGAAGCCCCCAGACAGGCCGGAGGGTGGGTAGCCCGGCTGCTCCTGCCCGGCTTGGCAAAGCCTCTCTCCTCTTCCAGGTGGTCAGCTCCCTTTGTCCCCTGTCCCCAAAGCCAGCGCTCCCTGGCTGGGTCCTCGCCACACAGGAGGGCTGAGTGAAGGCCTGGCCTGTGGAGTCCCTGGCTGGAAACACCAGTTCTCCTGCAGGTGTGGCCTCGCCAATGAGGTGTCCGTGTAAGCAGACTTGGAGGCCCAGGCCTGGGGCCATGGAATTTATGGAGAAACATGTGTGGCCGGTCAGACAACAGGGAGGGAAAGAGCAGGCCCTTCCCGCCTTCCTCGCAGAGCTGCTGTGGACAGGCCTCCTCCCGCCTCCCTCTCCTGAGACCACACCAGGCAGGCTTAGGGTCGCTTCCACGTCAGCGGGCTCCGTGGTGGATGAGAGGCAGACCTGGGGCGCATCATGACTGACACCGGCCCTGAGGGCCAGCACCCCGAGGAAAGGGTGGCCTTTGCCGTGCTGTGCTCACCGGGATGCCAGCCCACGTATGTCCCGTCTTCACTGGTAGGGTCAGCACCATGGGCACCTGGCCAGGGCCTGTCTGAGACCTGAGAGTCCGCGCTGCCAGCAACCTGCTGGGGCACCGTGACCTCACCGCTAGCTTCCTCTCAGCCTCCGTCTCCTTGTCTAAAGAGAAGAAGGAAAAATTGAATTTGGATTCGGTGATCTCCGAGGCCCCATCTACTCCCCATATACTCTAACGACATGTATCGGACACTGAATAGTTTGCACAGCCGGTCGGTGAATGAACACGGTAGTTATTGGGCATCTCCTGTGTGCCAGGCACTGTACCAGGGCTGGGCCCTGGCAGTGAACGAGACAGAGGGCCCTCGCCCTAACTGACTTAGCTCAGTGGGTAGAGCATCAGACTGTGGACTGAAAGGTCCCAGGTTTGATTCTGGTCAAGGGCACATGCCCGGGTTTCGGGCTCCATCCCCAGTATGGGGCATGCAGGAGGCAGCCGATTGACGGTTCTCTCTCATCATTGATATTTCTAGGTCTCTTTCCCTCTCCCTTCCTCTCTGAAATCAATACAAATATATATATTTTTAAAAAGACAGAGTGCCCTCGACATTCCAGGAAGAGGGAGGAGACGGATGAGCACGCCAACTAGCACCTAGACCCTGTGAGGTGCAGATGAGTGCAGCGAACCAGCCAAATACGCAATGTTGCAGAGAGTAACGGGGAGGCTGAGCTTTGCTGGGAGGGTGGTGGGGAGGCTCCCTGCGGGAAGAGCTTTACCCTCACAGCTGAACAGTGAGAAGGGAGCAGCATGGTGCTCTGGAGTGAGCCTGCCCAGTGGAGAAGCAGAAATGAAGAGCACTGAAAGGAAGGAGGTTGGCTTGGCCACGGGTGGCTGGAGGGTGAGCGAGGCAGCAAGGTCAGGTCCAGGGTCCCTGTGGGGCCTGGCTTCTATCGCAGGTGCAGGGGGAGCTCTCTGAGGATGTGCCCCGAGGCGGGCGGATGTGCCTGCTGCTTTGGAAAGTCACTCTGGCTGTCGTGCGTAGCTTGGGTTAGAGGGCCAGGAGGAGCCATTGTCAGGCGCCTGGGAAGGTCCAGGCCAGGGTGAGGGCAACCTGGACTCACAGAGGCCTGGATGTAGGTGGGAGAGAGGGAGGGGAGCCTGGGGGTCCCAGGCTTCTGATCTGAGCAGCCAATGGGATGGGATGGTGGTGCCATTTTCCCAGGGAGAGAGGCAGGGGCGTCTGGAGGACTCGGAGCTCCGGTTGGCCCATTCGGAGTTCAGGGGGGGGGGGTGCCCAGAGGAGATGAGAAGGCGGCTGCACTTGAAGCTGGAGCCCAAGGGAGGTCTGGGAGGTGTGGAAAGCGGGGCACTGCACAGCGTAAAATCCCTCGTTGCTGACAACAGATCCTTAGGCGTGGCGACATTTAGAGGTGCAGCCAGAGACACTGAGAAGGCTCACGGGGAGGCAAGCTGGTGGCTGAGTGAGCGACGCCTCAGGCAGGTCGCAGGAGAGCGGGCTCCAAGGGGGACGGCCGTGGAGCCCAGTGCTGCTGCGAGTCAGCAGGCGCAGCACGCGGACCACTGGCCAGGGTGTGTCCAGGTGGCCCTGGCCTCGGTGGCCCTGGCCCAGCGCCCTTCTGGGCTGGGCTGGGAGAGCGAAAGCCCGGTGATTGCAGTGGTGGAGGAGGGAGGGGAGGGGAGAAAGCAGAGACGGTGATTGAAGTGGTGACGAATGAACAAAGGAAATTGACGACATGGACCAGAGGACCAGACTGCAGGGGAAATTCTCTGAGGAGGTGCGGGATGCGGAGTCTGGGCAATTAATGGAGAAAGAGACGGGGTTTGGGGGCAGGGAGGTCTCTCCCCGGGGACAATTCGTAAAAATTCAACTGTCATTTCTTCCGTCAAGAAGTCCTGGAGTGAGAAACAATGTTTTAAGTCACGTTTCCTCGGCTTTTGTACACATGACAGAGGCTCTGCCTCCAACCCTCTGGGAAGAGAAGAGCCTTGCCCACGGCCGGGGTCAGGGTGGCGTCTCCCTGCGGCTCGATGCCCAGGCGGCGCGGCAGCTGGGCTGCAGGCGAAACTCTGGCTAAAATGTGTGCGGCGCGTTACCGGTTCCGCACTCTATGTATGTTATTCCATCCGAGGCTTTCAGCACTCCCGTGAGGCATACGAAGCCCTTTGACAGGTGAGGAAACTGAGGCACGCAGACGTCGAATCGCTTGCCCAGCGAGCAGTGGTTTTCTGCGCCCTCCCCTGGGCCCTGCTGGCCTCTGGGCCTCCACCCGCCCTGCAGCCGGGAGCTTTGTTCTCTGAGCAAACAGCAGCCTGGAAGTCATTCATCAAAACACATAAGTTCGAGGGTTCAGTTTTCATTCTTCAGGGAAGAAAAACAACCATGGGCCCGGAGGAGGCTGAGACAGGATGACAAAGGCCCCTCTCCTGCCGGGTCGGCCGACCGGCCAGCAGGTGCCGCCTCTGTGGACAGATGGCCCAGGTCCCACCGCACAGCACTTGCTACGCAGCCCACTTATCAGCCTCCCTGCCAGGCAAACACGCAGGCCAGGCGCAGGCCCCTTCCCCGGCCAAAGCAAACACGTCCCTCTCCCCGGCTCCCTCTGCCCTCGATCTAGGGGCCCGTCTGTCTGGGCTTTTCAGAGCGCTCATTATGGGGGATTTGTGACTGTCGCCGGGAGCGAGGGCCCAGAGAGGGTGATTTAACGTAAGTCTCCCTTGGGCTCTCAGACCTCAGCAAGGGCCGGCGAATCGATTTGATTTAGGATCCACGGGAGGCTGTGGGACGTTTCAATCCCCGCCCGGGGCACCGGCGGACAGATACACATTCCCCGGAGGAGGCGTTAGTCACCGCAGTGTCAGATCTGCTGCTTCTAACTACCAAGGATGGCTTTACAGTCCACGGAGATGAGGTTAAATCCTTTCTAGAGTGTGTTTTCCACCTTCCTTAACCCCTGAGTTTGGAAGTGTTTCCCTCTGGACAGGAGCCGTGGTGTGACCCCCGCTGGTGCCTGGAAGGGCTCGGTCTGAGTGCCTCCGTGTTCCCACCGCCCGCCCCACCGTCTCCACCCAGGGGAACCTCCAGCTCCCTCTCCCCTTTGCTCTGGAACCTTCCCCGGGGAAAAGCAAGAACATGGAACTTTAGGAAAGAGACCGAAACACAAGAGCCATCTCCGCCCCATGTAACCTCAGCAGCCTCCCTCTCACCGGTCAGGGTCCGATTCCACCTTTGCCCCGTGGGCAGCGTCTCCTGAATAATGTCCATGGTCGCAGAGACCTGAGCAGGGGTGGCCTGTGTGCTGAGACCTGGTCCGCAGGGCGAGGTGCGGCGTTTTCAGAGGTTTATCTGTAGCAGCGCCCTCCATTCCGGGACCCCACAGCCACAAAGTCTAATATAGAGGGACAGCTCCATCTAACTGGGCTCACACAGTAAACCATGCCCTGCACATGGTGCCTTTCCCTGGGGCTGTGGTCTGTCTTTGTGCAGAACCGTCTTGGAGTCCGTGCCCCCTGAGCCAGCCTGCGGCGTTTCTTCTCCACGGCCCCACCCTCGTCATCACAGCCCTATCTGTGGGGCAGTGACAGTCCTGGGGGGGAGCTGGCTCAGCCGCCGCTCCTGGCCCCCTGCTTGTCAGTGTGCAGAGGAAGCATCAGACCGCTGACCCGGCCAGCAGCCGCCCGTGGGTGGGCCCCGTACCTGCCCCCGCCAGTCCTTGGAACAGAGAGGAAAGCAGTGGGTCTCAGCACTGTTGGCCCATGGGAGTCACCTGGCCCACCCCGGAGACTCTGATTTAAGCTGCCCCAGGAGTGGCCTGGGCATCGGTTCCCAACGCGCAGCAGAGCTGGGAACCAGGTGCAGAGCGACTGGAACACGTCACCTGGGTGGACTCGGGTGTGCCTGCCGGTCCTCCTTCCTTCAGTGAGGACAGCTGGGGCTGCTTTAAACATAGAGACCAGCTGGGTGAACAGTGAGGCAGCCCGGTGCTGCACACAGAATTAGACCCGAGGGACCGAGGGCTCTCGCCCTGAATTGTTTTCCACCACGTCCTCCCAGCTTCTCCCACGTCCAGTGTGTCACGGAGAAGCACGGATTCTTCCTCAGCAGCATCAAACAGGCCACACCCCCTCCCCACCCACTGCAGGTCCCCAGGCCGCGCCTCCGCTGCCGCTGCCTCACCCCCCAATCTCTCCGCCTGCTGCAGGTTTTGCTAAACACTGTGTTCATTACTCCGCCCAAGAATCTTCAGAAGTTCCCTTTTG